AGGTATCCTGGAAAACCGTAGGAAGCATCCGGGGTTATAGGGGTAAGGGAGGGTTTGCCAATCGGTCCTTCTCTGATCGGTCGGTTGTGCAGAGGGGTGTGCAATGCTCCCCAAACAAGGGAGAAACCAGCGTTCGTCCACCCCTCGTCAGATGACGCCACTGTATCGCAGCAAGGTTCCAAGGTTACAAGGTTTTCGCAAGTTTCAGCGATCATAGCTATTATGACTTTTCGTATTGATATTTTGATTGCCTTGCCTTGCCTTTCCTCTCCCTGTTGACATTGTTAGGGTGTTTCAGTATTTCGATTGCCTCTCTGTTTTAGCTAAATTTGATTGAAGCTGATTTGTGACGAACTTTTAATCGAACTTTATAAACTGTAATTCGTCTGAAAAGGTCACATCCCTTTCTTATCGCGATTACACTAAATTTTACAAGATTCTAATCCAAATCTAGATAGAATTAAAAAATCAAAATTTCGAAAGCCCTAAAGTTAAGATACAGTTTATCCCTCGTCCCAAGAACATTTTATATCTCAGAAAAGAGCTGAATCGCGAACAAGAAAACCCAAGGACATTAGTAACCACCCCGGCGACGATATCATACGTTATTGGGGAACGAAGTCGAAAAATGCAAACTGAGAAATCGCGATCGGCAGAGAGCTGGGTAGAAAGAGAACCGGAGGCGGCCCACCTTTGCACGATTAATAAAATTTGCGGCTCGCGGCCGTTCAATTTACGGACACCGTGTCCTTGTAAATTTCCCAATAACACGCGTTCTCGTTTCCGAAAGTCTCGCCGCTGTCTTGATCTACCCATGCCCGGCTATCGCGCTGCAAATGCAAATCGTCCAGCTTCGGAATGCAAGCGTCCGCCTTTCTCTTTCTCTTCGCCAGACAAAACGCTGTAATGGCGCACGACCTGGCCGAGGATCGCCATTTTCTCAGATAAAAGTTCCTTCGACCAGTTCCGTTTCATTCTACCTTCAACTTGGTGGGAATCAAATCCAAGATTCAAAGTAGCTTTAACCCTTTCGATTGGACGTTGATGTTGGTGTTTGCGCCATTCCTTTCCATAAAGTTATTACCAGAAAATTAGGTATGCCAATACTTTTTTGTCCCACTGTATATATGTGTATTTCAGTAACTATTGCTTATCACCTTTTAACCTCTTACGACTTATTCTCTATTTAATAAAGATTTGCTGTTAGAACCATCGATAAAACGATGCTTCAGAAAAGAAACATAAAATCCTAAGGGACGATGGCATGGGGTTGTAAACAGATAACAAGGGTAGATAGAACAAAGTCCCGGTAAGTTAGTCGGCAGAACAGGCAAAGGAGGTAAGGAAGGAAAAAGAAGATCGGAGGGGGCGAACCGGAACGTTCTGCGGAGCAAGAAATCGGGAAATGTTGGCCGGTTTAACCGGCAGTCAGCGGTAAAAGTAAAGTGGGGGTGTACCCACGCGTGTGCACGCTTCCCGACCGGGCACATTTTATGTTTTGATGGCGCAATAAACCGTCGTAAAGCAGCAGTAAAACGCATCGAGTCACAAGTCCGTTCGCTCTGTCTTTCCCTATCCAGTTCATTCTCCCTTTCCTTCTCTGCTAATGTCGTTAAGTGGCCCGCCCCGTTCGCGGGACTGTCACTGTCTCGCCACACTTGTCGTCCCGCGTTCCGGACCTTCCACCACGTCGTTACGTCACTACGCGTCGTGTCAGACTGTCACGTGCTTGGCAGTTCACCGTTTGCTGAATATCACACTTTTCTTTCGACAGAAATCTCGTAGAAACGTGGAACTGATTCAAATTCGGTAGCGCTGGTTCGCGTAATGGTGTAGTGCGCATGCGTCGATGAATTCAGCGGGGACCATGATGCATTGCGAGCGCATGCGTGCAAGCAACACGTGAACGCCGCGGGAAATATAATTGAGAAGTAGGTAAAATTTAATAGAAATTATCAATTTTATTCAGTGAAAGTTTAGGTATCACCTGTTCCTTTGTATTTCTTACGTTTTATTATTCAACCGACCAGAGACGCGGTTTTTACTCGTCTGGTCAAACCAATCATTCACGGTTGATATTTCTCGATAGAACAGCGGAAAACTGTTATTATCCAAGCCAGGCAGTGTTAGTACGTTCCGAGAATTGATCGACCAATCATCCTGTAGTACACCATAATCATCGTATTCGTGCATCACGGTTTCACCGTACTTTCTCGGAAGCGCTAATAAAATTGCTTGTAATGACAGGCCATGCGTCCTAAGTACGGGCTACACTTTAGCCTCGATGGTGTTCGTGCACCTTTTACAGTGCGAGGTTTGTTTAACAAATTACGTTACATTTTTCTACGAGGAAGTCTGTGAGAATTTGAACAAAAAGATAATTGGGTACACGATTAACCCTTTAAATAGTTATGTTGTATATATGCGTATGACGCGTAACTAAAATCAATACACAAACGGAAATGAGGGATACCCAATTATTAAAATTAATATTGTGGTTTATTACTTACTTAGAAAGTTCAACAGCATGTGTGTCTTCGACGAAAGTTGAACACAAACTTTGCACCTCCTACGGATTCCTCCACTCGAGGGAATCGGTAATCCAGGAAGAACGTCACTGGATCGCCTCTTATCTGTGCCTCGTCGGCGTTTTAGGGCCGATCTTTCTCCACCACCTCATCCTCACTCTTTTTCCTCCCTTCGATTGCGGTGCTTCGGTTTATCGTGACCGAAACGAGAGATTGTCGGTGAAAACCGAGTTCTCTGCACATCTGCGACCGGGTAAATCGCCCTCGTAAAACGTGTTAACGTTAAGCATGTCCTTTTTTTGGTATTAATTTTTCAAGCGTATCTTGATCTTTAGCGAGAAAATGTTTAATTTCCTGAACAACTTCGATTAAAGGAAATGATAACAATATTTTATTTCACATTTTATTCACGCTATAATAAAAATACAAACATTTACATTTGATACAATCATATCACAGGATAAAATCAAAAACCTAGTGGTTACTATAATTTAAACTATTTTACAGGCCTGTTGATTATAGAAAGTTCTTCGTTAAGATAAGAGTTGATAACAAAATATCAGTTCCAAGAGTGAGCACCATTTAAATAAAACATGCGAAACGCATACATAATACTGCAAGTTCAACATAAAATGTATGTATTCAGGAAAAACTGGAATCTCTGCATAGTTTTAGTGCTATTAACATTTTATTGTACGCTGTACACGACGCTCACCTTCCATTTTTAATAAGTGCCGCTTCGTTGCAAATACCTTCACGCGATCCTTTGTTTATTTTCCACGCGGAACTCGCAAAGAATCCACGCGATATGTAATTATTTTCCGGTGCATCGAACGGGTTTCCGCGATGGACCGGAAAAATGGGGTTGTAGGTAAAATACCCACGAAGCCTGCGAATACCTCTCGATAGGTAAAACGGATTTCGCGATAGACAAAACGAGTCGGTAAAACAGTCACGGACAAAACGGACCGTGACCTTAGTACGTGATCCATCGCTGAGCAATTTAATTGTCCGTTTAATTAGCGGTGCGTATACGACAATTAAATAACATGTAAGCTGTACATGGATCAGATAAGGCAGATAAGAAAAAAGAAAAAAGTGACACGTTATGGAATATTTACATAATCAAGGTAAAAGATTTTATTCATAGTTATTATCTGTTAATCGTTCGCGTTAACGTAACTCGTTGTGTATTCCCTATAACGTTGCATTCGAACAAATATTAATCGTAATAAATGTCAACCGAGCTTTCAACGTATTATCATTCTAATCGTTTGCAACAATTTTACAATTATTTTTCACCTTCAAATTAATTCGTAACCGGTTAAGGTTGCGGCAGACCTACTTTGATTTACTGTAAATGGCACTCAACAATCAATTCACAGCTTAAGTCGTAATTTATTAATAAGCACATTCAAGATGACGTTTAATAAATCAAATAAGAGGTGATAATGGGTTATGAATAAAATTTATTAAAGTCGAAAGGTTGAAGACACAAACGAAATTTGTTTTATGCCAGTTTTACTGACTATCTTGCGAGTTATAAGTCAGGTTTCAAGATGAAACATTTTTCATAAATCATGGCGTCTTAATCCATCGTGACAATGTCTGAAGCAATCTTTCGCAATAACATTACAAATTAGGATCAAAGAACATAAGGATGTTTCTTGATTCACGAATCGATGAGGAATATTATTCGACTTAACCTGCAGAATTCTTGCCCGCCATGGTTAAATTCCAGGATCGGACGCAAAGCATGCCGGTACGGCTACACGGTTCGAGAATTCCCTTAATCTCCACGAAGATGGCGCGCTAGGTGTCTCTGTTCCGATCGTGAGGGCGTCACCCCTGGTGCACCCCGAGCTATCAGCAGGACCACCGCCCAATTTCTCTTCCCTTCTATTCGTTCCCCCCTGAATATTTTTTCCGAGCCCGACCGTTGAACGAGAATCTCGCTTCGAGAATTCCGTGACACGCTTGAGGTTCCAGAAGAACCGGACCACCTTTTTATCCGCGACGCATCTTTCCTCGTAGGCAGACACACCAGCTTACACGTTTTGTGTCTTTGTTTGTCTAACTGTTTGTGTCACCGTTGCAATTTACATCCTGTGATGGTCGACAGGCAGGCATAATTTTGTTGTAGAGACAAGCAGCCTCTGTGTCTTGTCCGACAGCATCGCCATCATTCGTATAATTGGATGATCTCCTCTAGGGTACTGAATGAATTCGGATACAACGTTGGCGACACTTTTGACCTGGCACTGATCGTATGTTCAGGTAATTATGAGGTCGTTGGATCGCCGGTAGTCGAGATTAATTAATTGTGGGATTAATTGTGGGATTGGAGGATATTACTTGTAACTTGGGATTTTTGTTTCTATATCAAGTGTGTTATTGCTCCTTCAATTTTTTGTTAAAAATTATTATTTTTGGAAAGGAAATAATAATTACCACATCGTACATTTTTTAATCTTTTATTTTACTCTATACATTTATTCCAAAGGTATGGAAAGGAGTATAACCACCCGTTGTTGTTTAGGTCGTTTTCTGTATCGTTCGATCTATCGAGCCCCGTCCCAACAACAAAGGCGGCGCAGTATTCTTCTTTTTGTACGTCCAGTTGCTAGATATCATCAAAATAGGCGGTGTCTTAAAGGATCGAGCGGTTCCAATACATGTCCCAACTCTGCTAGTCTTCGCCATTAGTCCTCCCACCAACTAGAACATTCATCTTCATAGATTAGGTTTAGAGTTTAATGGTACCACACATCTTCCATATTCTGCTTTGAAATACCTAAAAAACCACGCCTGCTCATCCCTTGTTTCCTTTCTCAATTTCTCGAGCATCCATGCCGACAACGTGGAATTTAGAGTTAGGACAGGGATAATTAGTAATGGGGGATCGAACGAATTGCAAATTTTATTTTGAACGAAGAGTATGAATATGTATTCATGTATAAAAGCTGTCCCTTCGAAATACATCTAATTAATTTATTATTTATGTTCTGTTTCAGGAGCGAAAAATGGCACCCAAGGTGAGTACGTGTAGCTAATAATTCTTACCAATCGATTAATTAATTACTCGTTTAAGAATTGACGAATGAATCATCAAAATTATTCAAAACTCGTTTTCTGGTCGTTAAAGTCTTTCGTAAAGATCGCGTTACGTCAGCAAAAATTACCACGTACAATAGCAACTGCCGTTTACCTCTTGGCATTGAGTCTGGACACGAAAACAAACAAGCCACGTTATATTTAAACCCAAGTTCGTGCTTGCTGCGAACATAAAATGGAAAAAAGAAACGCGATTAATCGAAGAAAAGCTTCGGTAAAGAAGCATAGATATGATAGGCTTTTTTTGTTCACTGTTAGCAATTTTACGATTGAGAACTGTTTTTTTTTTCTTCCCCTGCACCTTTCCACCCTCCGCGAGAATACTCCCTCCTCGGTTCCTTTGGCCGCGACTAGTCTACACCCCTTCCCCTGGCCCCGCGAGTCGTTTCGTGCCCCATCGTGATGCCACCACTCTGAGAACGCAGGAATGCTGCCGCTATCCCGACTGGGACGAGTTCAGTGGTTTCGAAGAGTCGAGCAGACGACACTGGCGAAACGCGCCAGTTTCGCTTGCATATTCCTCGCGGAAACGGGAAGAGGCACGGGGAAACGCTTACGCGAATCCCGGCTAAATCAGCAGGCGATTCGAGTGCCCTCTAGATCGGCCCGTAACACGGAGGTTCCTAGCTGCGAATTGATCGAACGTATCAACTTTGGTCTGGCGTTGGACTCGTTTAAAAACGCGCGGGATATTGTCACGGGAACTATTGCTCCAGTGGGCATTGTTTGAAGCGAGTCAAAAGGAACGGGTTAGAGAGAGTCCTTGGTCCGGAACAAAGGCGGTAAAATAATAAAGGAAGGAAGATAAGAGGGAACGAGTTTGGGAAGAAAAGAGCAAAGAGAAAATTTGTAAAGACCTAAAAGAACGAAGATCGTCGGCTGAACTAATCAGGAGTTAGGATACGATTAGCAAGATTGATAAAAAATTGCAAAGTGAAGAAACTACTAGTGTGTGTTTACACGCTGGCCAAAAGAGACGTGCCTGAACGTAGAGCAATGAAATAGCGAGGGAAAACGAAAAGCGTAAAAACAAAGGAGAACAACCCGGGAGAAAAAACGGATAAACGCGTGCGAGGCTAATGTTCAAAAAACTGCTGACCCGGCAGTAAAGCAAAGCACGAAAAAGACGAAGCGGCGAAGAAGAAAGCGAAGCAAAAGACCGACAGCAAAGAAAGAGAGGAGTAGAGATTAGAGAAAAACAGAAGTGAAGAGAAACAGAAAAAAAAGAAAGAAAGAAAAAGAGAAAATATTGTGCGAGACGTTTGAAACCTGCACGATAGCGTACAGGGGTATAAGGCAACGTGGCGAGCAGGACTGCACTGACAAGAGAGAACGTACAGAATACAGCAGAGCAGAGCTGAACAGAACCGACGCGACGAGAGAAAAGCATGGTATGGACGGAGTGCGAGAACGTGAAGCAGTGGAGCGAGAGCGGACGAGAGACGGCAGCAGCTGAAAAGAAACAAGAGAGAGAACTGGAAGTATAGGCAGCAGTGAAGATCAGAGTGAGTAGAGTCGGTGTGGAGAGAGAGAGCCATTCATCTTGGCGCGCCTAGGCGGCGCGCTATTGGTCCACCTCAGATAAGGGAGCGGCGCGATTGGTCGGCTCTGTTTACCAGCTGGTACCCCAGCGCGCTCGAGAATCGCAGAAGAGAGGGGGGAACAGAACGGAGAGACAAGCGGCGCCATTATTGTAAGGGGTTACATTTAGCTGGCCGTGGGTTGTAGTACGCGGCGTTCGGGATAGGGGGCTATAGTACCTTCATGCATGGCCCATAAAGGATTCGTCGACTATCCGAGAAGTACGCAAGAAACGGCTTCTAACACCTGACAGGGGCCACGCTCTTCTCTTCTCTTCTCTCTCCTTGTGCCGTCGCCTCGTTCGCCGTCGCAGCCCAATTTCCTCGCTGGGACCGCTGTGTTGGATCAGCTGGGTGGGCCCGACCAACGAAAGACCCGCTGCTTTATTGTCGCTGGTCGTCCCGATGTGGAAGGAATCGTAATTACCATAAAGGAATCGTAACGTCGGGCCGAAAACCATACCTGTTCGTTGGATACTTATCCCCGGTGTGATCGACAACACGATGATCTGACGTGTCTACCACCGAAGAGAAACCGAATGATTTGAAGTCGTTCCGGTGTGTTTACCCGTTTGCCGTCGCGAACTCTTCGGTAACCGCGATCTTCCGTCTATATTAAACGGAGCATCCATCCTCGACCGTTCGCGTCCGTTATCGTTTCTGTGATAATGTGTAAAGTTGCGTAAGTGACGATCAAAGTGGGGATCAAAGGTAACGGATAAAGAAGGGAAGGTAGAAAGACAGCCGGAGGAGGAGAGAAGAAGGAGAACGCAAAAGTGAAAGAAAACGGGAATACTTGAGGACGTAACGAGAAAAGGAAGAAGTTCAATCAAATTGATGGAACAATAAATCGAGTGCGTGTAGTTGGGTGTGACGAAAAAAAAGATCGCCGTGTATCAGACGGGGGATCGAGGCATATATTTTTGTGATAAGAGATAAAGAAAAAACGGTGTGATTACTGCGGAAACAAAGTGCGCAAACGATGAAGCAGCAGCTGCTGGCCGATTCGCCGGCACGGTGTCGGTGTTGAGACACTGGACCCGGGTCTCCGTGTCCGGGCGTGTCTTCGGCATCGAGTCCGAAATCGGCACGGGCGGCAGTCGATATGAGTTCGAAATTCATAATCGATAGTATGCTACCTAAGTACCACCAACAGTTTCATCATCAACAGTTGTTCTCGAGCGCGAATCCCGGCACGATTCAGGCGTGCACGACAAGTCCGGCCACCGCCAGTCTAGAGTCCAGTTTATCCGCGGCTGCAGTCGCGGCCGCGGCAGTGAATTACGCGCAACAGCACAATTCGCCAAGCCCGACGGGTTCGAGTCCGCAACATTCAGGAAGTTCGGCATCCACCTCACCGGCGGCACGCACCACATCGAGCATGTATCCTTACGTATCCGCGGCAGCGGCGCATCATCATCATCAGCAACAGCAAGCGGTCGCGGCCGCAGCCTTTGGTGCCACGTCTAGCATGGTACCAGGCTTTGGTTCGACCGCGGCTTCGAGTGCCGCGTTGGCCGCGGCCGCGGCTGTAGACGCCGCAACCGCAGGCGACAAATCTTGTCGTTACACCGCCAGTCTCACTGGAAATGTTGCACCCACGTCCGCGGACCCTATGGTCAATTACACTCTCGGTCATCATCATCAGAACGGCGCTACACCTGGTAGCTTGGTCTCCTCCGCGTCCGCCTCGTCAGCCGTATCGGCTGCGTCCGCGTCCATGGCCGCCGCAGCACAGTTCTATCATCAGGCTGCTGCAGCATCGGCCGTTGTTGATCCTTTGACGTCCTGCCAACAACCCACCACCGGGCAACCCGGCATTTCGGACATACCACGATATCCATGGATGTCTATTACCGGTAAGTTCAATTTTTATGTTCTTGCATTCCATGTTTCTTGCTTTTTATTTGCCTATTGTTCAACGAAGCATGCTCCTCTAATAAGGGTCAGACCTTGTGTAGCTATTCCAATCTCGAATCGGTTCGGTAAGCAAGTAGATTGATGATGTTCTGCTCCGATGAACAAAGTCAAATATTCTTTAACGGGCAAACGTTTGGGCACAATATAAAGATTAGACTAGTAATTCCTGATGGCGTCCAGGAGTTAATTATGTTTCGCACGATCGTGTTATGGCTATTTAACATTTCCTCTTTATCAGCGGATGATGCAGAGCGACGATAAGTGAAGCTGGATTAAGATAGATCCGTCGATTTGTGGCTGCTATCGTTTGTATTCAATATGGCGTTAAATTGGCCGTGTGTAAGAAGAAACAATGTGGAATCAATAACAGAATTACGTTATCGAGACAGTGAAATTGCCTATTCGGCACATCATCATCTTGCTCGTTATGTTATGCTATCGACACGCGTTAATGACTTAGCGTCACTTGTTATTCTTAATAATGCGCTCTAGAGATAACGATAACGTCTGCGTCTGTGCTGTTGCATGATCGTCAAATCACTGAATTCTGTATGTTACTGTATGTGTGCATTGTTATTGTTGAACACTATGTCGCGAATTTACAAGTACAACGATGGTCGTATCGAGTAATAAATTACGCTCGATTTGGATACGGATTTATTGTTTCGTGAAAATCGATCGTTATAGTACCGACTTTATCGGGTATCACGAAATACGAGCTTTATCTGAACATAGAGACCCCTTGTTCCTTTCTCTTTTAGCATTAACATACTTGCTGTGTCTATTATCCAGTTACACACAGTTTTTCTACTACCGTTTCGATAGGAAAACGCTGAGAAACATAGAACTAGTCCATAAGGGATTAGCAATGATGGTCTATCCCATGGATGTTGAAGAGTAGATGAAAATTGACCTACGGTACACGTGTTTATAGTTATTCTTTCTGCAGGGGGCACTATATAGAGTAGCGGTGAACCATTGTTGTACCTTCGTAAAATGCTTACTAAAAGCACCGTCGGTTCTGACTGTATATACGTAATACTGTCATAAACCAATTGTTACGATACATTAATATGGAAACTCTCATTATGAATACACCAATTGATCTAGTTCCTTTCGAGCTTATAAAGATTTATCAAGGATTCTTACGACATCAATTATAGTTTCTTATCTGTGCGATGAGTGCAATTTGTACCTGATCAACAGTTGTAGTTGATTAATTGTAACAGCATAATTAACGTATCCGCAATATAAAAACGAATCTATCGGTCGATTCAAGTTTAGTAAACTTCGATAATAACGTCTGTGACTGAAACGTATTTTTCTGCTGCATAAAAAGCAAGCTAATTTTGTGGCACACGTATTGATTTACATACAAAACAGTTCTATTTGTTAATTATCGTCTTAACAACAAAAACATGACAGTAAAAAATTCATGTCCATTTCCAATTTGCCGGAAACAATAGTGTCGCTTCGAGTCGGTTTCGCAGGCCCGAGACGTCGCGTCTCGTCGGTTCAGCGACCAACCTATTCTCCATGTTCCGCCATAATGTATTTCGCGTATATAGCTTGTTCAAGAGCCTTTGTCCGACGTATTAGCGCGAACAAAGTGCCCGACGGAGTTTTAACGCATGTATTTGCGACGGACAAGCAAGACCTAACCTTCTCTTCTCGTTGTTCTGTTTCGTCGTGGTGACGGCGCATGAATAGCTATCGTGTATTTTTAAAAGCCGGCCAATATACATCGGTTTGCATTGTTTTTTGTGTATGTTGACGCGATGATTCGTGTGAAACAAGTGGAATAAATTTTCGCGAGATACCTCTTTTGTCTTCCGAGAAGAATTTAATGAAAACTGTTCAAGGTTTCGACGGAAATAACACTGATCCTAAGTACTGTAAAATCTGTCCATACGTTTCAATATCATTCTCAGGTTTTATAGTAAATCGGATAACGTTAAATTGAGTCCTGTCCCTAATACTCTGCAACCTAGACACTTGCCCTTAACGTAAAAGCTTGCCTTCATTTAGCAAACTTACTTTTTTCTTTGAATGGACTTAGAATAATTACGCCATCTTGAATTCTGTAAGAAACATTAAACAATCATAGTCGACAGTAATGCTACGATAGTCATTAATATTGCCTTAGGATTATTTAAGTTTCTCGAGTTAGCGGTCGTTGATGCCACCTGGCTTCAATTGCTTTGTTGCGATTAACGACATTCTAAAATCACTTCTGCTTTATTAAATATTGTCGCGTGTTAGTTGACAAAATTTCCTCAGACCTGAACACTCCCTATATTACGAGGATTGGATACATACTCAGATGGAGTTGTAAACATTCGGTATGCAAATTATTATCTGAAGCCTGTTCCGTTATCAACGCCGTGTAATAACGTTTTCTTTTGTACCACATTAAGCTTTCATGCATTTTTTTCATCAGCACAAAACGAGGAGAGTAAGATGCGCATTATAATTACGAGTTATTCGTGCTGTAAATTACGATCAGAACAGATTGACGGGTTTTCAACAGAATTTCGGCTTGCTGTTAACCATTTGACTATTATTAACTGAGCTGTTCGAATTAAAGATACTTCCTTTTTGGACATACTCAGTCGACAAATTGATTCATTAATTATCAGAGGTAAATTATTTCATTTTTTACATTTGGAATTAGACCAGTGATAGATCAGAAGCCATCTTCGTCGAGCACTTCCGACGCTCACGCTTTTTCGACTTATAGACGACCGTCGCGCCGCGCTCGCAAAATGGCCACGCGTAGCGTCAATAGTAACAAACCGACGAATAAATCATAGCAATACAAAGCAGGGAGTGAATTTTCTCAACACGTGCTTCACTGTAATTCACAGCTCCCGTCAGTTTTTATTAACGTCATCCCCTGTATCAATAGTTACCACGAGATCGACAAAGAAGTAGCAGACAGAGATGTCTGTTTTTTTATCCGCCGTGGCGCTGCGAGTCTTATCGGGCAACGTTCGCAAGAAGTGTCTATTCGTGATTCAATAAAGTCCTTATCTGCTTTACGAGTGCATAAGAATAACTTTATGAGGCGAGAACGAAGGGAACACGCCAGTTGCCTCGGCGATAGTTGTCAGAATGTAATGCAAAAGATTTATTGGGATGAATTCCAAGCCGCGGTTGGATGGCGTCTCAGCGATCGAACAACGAATAGTCGTTGATTAGTTCTCGCGATCAGAACTTCTCTACCAAACAGTTTCCTCGGGCTTACGAAACAGTTCATTCGCGTTCTTTCGATCGGACCTTGTGTCACCTAGCACGAATCGACGTCGGCCTAATCCAGCTACATTTCTGTTTAATCGACGAAGAGACAAACAGAGAAAAGGACGGGAAGAAGGAACATGGGATTAAGCCCGATACGGTCGACCGTTCACGATCGTTCCTCTAATCCTCGTTTCTAGCAGGCGAAGTTACAGGGAGAGGAGCTTTGCGTGTCGAGTTGCTGCGAATTTCCTACTTTCTAATTGCGTATCCGTTGGAATAAGTTTCGCTTACACGCGGCTCCCTCTCTGTCTGCTTGACTCTCCATCTTTCTTTATCTCTCTCCTTCCTTCTCTTTCGTACAACATTCTACCGTGCCTGTGTTTGTGGTGGGTAGTTTTATCTGAAGTGCATGCTTTTTCACGGTTCGGTTGAAACGCTAGATAATTTTCCTATCGGATCGATTTGATGCTCTCTTTCCCTCTGTTCTTAATTACAGTTGGTTTTTATTTTTGCTTTCAGATTGGATGAGCCCGTTCGACAGAGTCGTGTGCGGTGAGTACCATCTCTTACTGTTGCTATCGTTTCTCGCTATTCGCTAAAACATCTTTGCTGGAAATATATTTTTTATTTCCTCTTAATATTGAAGACGAGGCTTTTCTGTCCGATTCCGAAACGAAACCATTTTCATTTGAATTTTCCTTACTTTGAAATTATCCGCATCACGAGATAAAGAGTATGTGAACATTCAATGGAATGTTAAAGATCGTTCCTTTGAAACGGTCGAGGAGGTAAAACAAGGCAGGATGAATCTGTGGCCGCTGCCACATGTGGCTGCCATATTTTTCGACGCACGAGAGCGTTTCATTCACGAAACGTACGTAAACGTACAAGACGGTTACCACTTTTTTCTGGCTTCTAACCGAATTTACAATTTTACAAACAACCTCGCGACACGTTTCCTTATCGGAAATAGTGGTCATTAAGCTGAACGGTTTCGTAAGATTGTAGGTTATATATATTTTCTCGCAAAGTACGCAAGATTCAACGAAGAGACGAGTTTTAGAACAAGCTCGAAGGGAGTTCAACGATAAAAACACTGTGCGCGTATGCATTGTTAAATTTTACTTACAATTTCAGCCAACAGTTGTTCCCCAGCTAACCTATGCGCTTGTCCCACGTGTGATCGCCTCGATCATACGGTACTTCACGCTCCTTTGAGATGGCGCTGTTCGCGAATTTATTATGGCGTTAAAAAATGGATTCTTAACGAGTATAGTTAGTACGGGGGGTTTTTAAAAGTGTGTCAAAGAAAAGTCAAGGGCAACATGTAGGGGTCGTTTACTCGAATCTTGGTGCCGGTAACACGTGCTACCAACTCGGTTCCCCATTCGTTTATGTTGGTCGCGCATGCAAGAAGGACATGTATACGGCTAACTACACCTGTCGTCGCCGTGATAATGTTGGCCACAAATTATCCCCGTGACTATCTTTTATACGGCCTATTACAGGCCCCACAATGACGGAGTAAATAGCGTTTAGGTGAAAGTAAAACTTCTGCCGTCGGACTTATCGCGATGCTTTATTTACATTAGACTAATCATAATTTCAAATAAGGATACCGTGATTGCCGCAGGAAGTCGCCAGTGTACAACGAGTACTGTTAACCAATTGCTGAATCGCCTCCAATTTTGTCGGAATTAAACACCGTCGACGTTATTGCTTGCGAGCATTCTAATTGAAATAAGTAAAATGATTGATAATTTCAATTCCTATGGCTATCAAGATATCGATTTAACATCGATTAATAATGGAACATAAATTGTTCTAAAGAGCATCAAAATAAGATAGAGATAAATTGTGTACTGACAATGAGCTTTGCCAATCAAATCGCGATTATCATAAGGCGGAAGTGTTGGAATAAAAGATTTAACGAGTGGCTCACGTTCTTAATGATTCGCGTATCAATATCACAAACGAATTTGCTCATGTTTTATAAACACGATTGTATAAGCAGGTTTCAAGTTGCCTTCTGTCGGATGCGTCGCTTTTCTGGTACCGTCAACGAGGACGATACGTCCATGCGCGAAAGAGACGTGACGTTAATGCATTTGGAAGTTGGGGTGCGTCAGCCGAAATACCTGTGGGAACGTTGTACAGAGACCTCCAGGATGTTTGACTAATTGCAATTGAAGTTATGTACGCGAATCAACGTTAGCCCCGGACGCGCGATGCATAATGCATGTCTCTCGTTCCTCGTTTATTTTCTTTTTTCTCTCGATCTCTTTTGCATGAATAATCGCGATGCACAAAGTCTCGCCATTTCTTCAACCGGTCTGTTTCGTTGCAGAAATTGATCGTATGTGTAACGATAATCGCTTGTAATCGCAATTCTTCCTTATCTTCATTTTATTCCTATTCGTCAATTTTAGGTGGTATTATCGTTTACTTCCACATTTTTAAAATTCCCAATTTGCATTTGCATACAACATAATTCATCGTTGCATCTTTGACTACCACACTTGCCGTAGGATCAATCATACTTACAATCTTACTCGTTCCTCGTCTTATTCGATCAGAGATTATTAATATAATCATGTTTGCAAGTTTCTTTTGACATGCGCTATTAAATTGCAATTAGTATTTGATTGAGCAGATAAAAATAAGGTAAAGAATAATGACGCGAGATAGGTGCCATTAAAGTGTTAATATTCTCCCAAATTTTAATATATCGGGAAACGTCGAGCTGAAATTCTTGGTCGCTCACAGTCTCATTCGCAATAAAGTAATAATATAAGAATAGCACTTTGAATTCAACACAAGCGCTTCGCTCTTTTTCTTCCACTCGATGCAATATCCGTCGCCGTGTCTATGGCCGTAATCTATCGCCAGTACGTGAACGTACTGCGCTTTCGAGTTTAGAATTGGGATTGGCGACTCGGTGGCTTTGAGAATGCATTTTGTGACAGAATCTTTATTAGTTGCGCCAATTTATCATCATCTGAGTTTACTTCAGCTTTGTCGAATTAATAGTGTTAACGATTAATGACCACTCTATGCAGACGTACCTACATCATGGACCAATCTAACATTTACAGTCTAAATTATACGCATGTATCAGAATTTTATATCGAATTCTTGTCACAATAGAATTTATGAAATGTACAAAAGCGTCAAGGAGAACCTTCGACATGTCTCATCCTTCAACCAAGAAACAAAATATGCGGTCACGTAAAATTAAGAAAGAAACTGGTCCATTTTATAACACAGAATTAACTTGAAGGAGATATTACGTGTATTTAATCTTTCACTAGCGATATGTGAACGTATACTGCATTTTGAGGTCAGGGATCGGCGGACTGCTGATGGCTCCACCAGATCGTTTCTCTGACCAAGAATTCGTTTGAACTGCGACTAAATTTTGCACCAATCTAATTTATATTATTTCTATTACTCGTACTGTTGGTGGACCATGTTTCTGCACACCTCGTAGAATATCTAATTTAACTCTCTGTCTACCTCAATTACAAAACAGAAAGCAGAAAATGTCGATAGTATAAGTCAAATAAGAATACAAGTAACTTTCGATTGTTTCAATAATAAACGTGATAAATTCTAAGCAAACGATAAAGTTTTTGATACAGTTTGGAGCATGATAATAGCTCTATTAACCCAGGAACGACCGTGGATGAGTCAGTTATGACCCAGCCTTACGAAAAGTATACAGAAGTCTATCGTCCAAAATTAAACACTCAAATTTCTAGATGTAAAATCTTTAAACATCGGAAATATAGTATCTAAAGAAGTAAAATTGAGGTAGGAAAGACTTCCGTTGTCCGAGGATTAATCTTTTTTGTTACACTGTGTATAAAAACGGGACACACAAAAATGTCATAACATTTTTCATTCGTTAGTTTAATTCTTGTTGCTCTGTTGGCACATAATGTTTTGGAGCTCTCGCGACAGAGTTCAGTGGCCGGTAAACGTCTAGCCTGGTTTTGTGTACGCTCGGCTATCACGAGATAATGTATAATATATAAACAGTTCGATCTGCCGGCAACAGTACACCAGGCAAACATTCTTGTTGGCTTACTCAGAGCAGTCGGTACTGTTCGAGCTGTTCACTGCTTCTTCTCCACCCTTTGATTAACCCTCGCTGTGGTGCGGTGCTCTTCCGAGAAACGTTTACCCCGTAACCGTAACAAAGAGGGTCAGTAACAGTAAAATCCTTCAAATTACAAGTTGCATTTCGTTTTTTTTTCCTTATACGAAAGATTCGCGTATATATTGTACAAAATAATACCTTCTTGATCGTTGTAACTACGTTAGAAGAAAAAAAAAAACATTAACCCTTGGCGATTAAAATACAACTTGTCATCCAATCAAAAAGGTACTTTGCCTCTTCTACTGAAAGGGGTGAACAATCATCCAAGGATGTGCAAAAGGGGGTGAAGCGACTTTTCCTACCTGACCGCGCGATAATACCACAGCAACCCTTGCGCGATCTTTTTAATCTATCCCTTGGTCCCTTAAACGTTCTGCATTTTGATGGTTTGTGCCGCGGGTAGCCTGCGTACGTCTAGTTGGATTTCAGTGTGTACACAGGGCTAGTACGAGATAATGTATAATTTATAATCAGACCGTTTCTCTGGCAACAGTGCGCCACTGCACGGACTGAATCTTCCGCCCCAAAAGCCGCCAACCCCTCATTAGCATTCGATGATGGCTGCCGCGTCCTGCAGCGTCCCGTATTATCCCATTTCATCGTTCCATGGCATCCCCTACCTGGCCTCTAGCTCGTTTCCACCCGCCTTTCGCTGCTCCCTCACTATTCTCTCTCTTTCTCTCTTCTCTATTTTACACCTATCCCGTCTTTGTCGGAAGGCTTTCTGCCATTGGATCCGCCAGGTAGCCGATGAAAGGCTCGTTCTGGAAAAAACGTAGCGTTTTAGCTGGAAAATGAATTTTCTCTTTGGAATTATCGTTTCATAAGCTTTTGGATCAATTTGAAACTCTTCTCACCCCTTCTATCGTTCTAAAATAGGGAATTATGTCAACAGGGTTTCGAAAATGAGAATTAGGGGTAATCTTAGAGGTGATAGTGTTCAAGGTCGTCAACGGGAAGGGAAGAGCCGCTTCCGAAGGCCTGGTAGAAGTCTGAGCCAGGTCAGAATCGAGTGTTGTCACCGAGATTATTGAAACTGCAGTTTTATGGGGCCTTAAAAGCAGTTTAATTGCTGTTATATAAGTGTTTATGCGCCGTCAGGTTTGGCCTCCGCCTGCGCTACCCCAAACGTTTATTTTATGGTCATACGACGACCATGGTGTGGCAGTGGTTTCAACAGTGTGTACCCAGTTTTGTCGCGTGCCGAAGCCATCATACCCAGTCAAATCCTCGGGACGAGAGCCTGGACGATTCTAAATGTCACCGTAGATTCACGCTGCTCGGCCCTCCTCGGATAAAAAAGCATCTTCTTATATACCAACAGCGAGAGAGCAGCGACCTCAAATCACACTCTGTTTCACGGTTATTTTCGGTTGCTCTTCAAGGTAAA